TTTGTTTATGAAGCACCATGATAAGCATAGTAAATGGTGAAAAGAAGTCCTTGCTCTATCACTGACTTTCTCTGTGAATTCAGATATTTCACTTCCTTTCTCTTGGCTGCAGTACTTCATCTGTAAAATGAGCATGCTGAATCGGGTTATCTTTCTAATGGTAATACTATATTACAATTCTATGAAGTTCAAGACTTACTTCCCACTCTCAATGGATTTTAAATCTAGTTAAGCACATAGGCATAGAAGCAAAACATTAACAAGTCAAAATAATAAAACTTCAACTGTCACCTGCAAGAGAATGAATCTAAGTTTTCTACATAGCACAAAGTTTAAGCCTTTAAACTTTACGTAAAGGGTTGAACTCATGCCAAATAGCTTTAGGGAAGACTTGAATAAAAATACATAGACTTCATTTTGAAGTATATTGAATTAGTAATTCAATAAATATACTGAGCATAATGTAACTTCTTACTGACAAAACCAGATCAACATGAATAGCAAATCATTACTGGTAATATAGACGATGTGGATGGTGTAGAGAGCCCAGGATTAAAATGGACCTAATCTTAGTTATGACGTTGGGACTTGCTTTTTAAAACAATAACAACAACAACAACAACCTTTTGAAAATAAAGTGTCTGTGCATGTCTATGTAAATGACATTGGCACTACAGACATACACACACACACACACAAACAAATAACTATATACAAGGCTAAAACTGCCTCATACCAAGTGGTTTTCTAAGCATCCTACAAATTATCTTCACTACTAACTGGCCACAGTATTTGAAAACCCCACTTCAGATTTCTCAAACACAAATAAAGAACCTTTGGCACCTTCTCCTCAGCTTATACTAATTCTTCAATGAATTGTCACATTAAGTGTGTGGGCTTTGACATCAGGCCTGAAAATTAATGCCAGATCTTCCATTTGCTATCTGTGACACTTTAGATAGGCAAGTTACTTAATCATTTTGTGACTCCTCCATCAATACAAAGGGATGTAAAAATATCTGTCTTATGTGGTGGCTGTGACTCACAATGAGGCAATGCATTGGGAAAAGCTGTTAATATTCCTCCATTTCCCCCAAAACATTTGCTCATGGAAAGGAAAATAGTTTTTCATTATTCAAAAACCCTTTTCAGTATTTCAAAGCCTAGTGTTTTTTATTATCAGATAATGATGACAATTATGCAAATAAGATGAGGCAACAATCTGCTTAAATTTCAAGCACAAACAATAACACAAAATTGTATCTTTGCAATTATAGTGAATTTGGAAAGTCCTGTTTCAGGCTCTTTTGGCTGCTCAATTTCTCATGAAATAGTTTCCTAAATTAAAGGTTTTAGCTAAAAAAAAAAAAAAAAATAGAAAGCTTTTTTACTAAAGCAACACTATGGGGCAAACATGGTAAAAATATATCCAGTCACTGCTCCTGTTAAAACCTGTAGTTGTCTAACTAACAATTTACCTATCTTCAATTAAACCTATGCATTAAAATAAAATTGTAATGAGGAATTTAAATGATTTAACCAGTCAGAAAAAAATTATTACTAACCTGTTTAATGAACAAGTACATAAAATCATAGCACTCCAGACACAAAAGAAACTCTAAAGATTATTTCGTTAAACTTCTTTGAAGGGTCTGAAAGCTATTGAGTCATCAGAAGTTTCAACTGGGAGTGGTGTAGCTTATTCTGCTTAAACTTAGAACTTGACTGTTAACTGTCAGAGTACACTTTTTGGCCATTGTACCATGTTACATTGTACAACTGTTCAAGGGACAGACTATTCAGAAATAAGAAAATGCACAGAATCTTTAGTCTTTCATCAGTTGTAAATGGCCTCCTAACATTCCACCTTAAACTCCCTAGTGAATTGTCCACAAATGTACATGGTTTAATCAGCTGAATTTTTAAATTTAAAAGTACACTCTCAAAAAGCCCAGTCCTTAAGTTTATAAAAATACAAAGTTGGCATATAGTTTTAAGGCAGTACTTAATAAACTAAAGGTCCATAATTTTAAGGGAGTTAAGGTTTTTTTTAACATCTTGAGTCCAGCCAGAGGATATTTATGATGAATCATTAGTTCAGATTGGGATTTCAGATTAGTTCTATACTTAAGAAAATAAGGTAAGGGAAAGATAAACATTTCCTTCTAGGGAGTCAATCTAGCTCAGTGGTTCTCAAAGAAAGGTCTTTAGACCAGCAGTCTCAGCATCACCTGGAACCCTGCTAGAAATGCACACATACAAAGTCAGAAACTCTGGGGATGGAGCCCAGAAACATGTTTTAACAAGCCCTTCAAGTGATTTTGATCTGAGAACCACTGGTTTAGTTCATCAGAGTAGAGAAGAAAGCAGATTTTTGGGCAGAAACAGTCCAGACATAAAGATTATACATTTCTCTGGAATATACCTGGAGGTATATGTCTTAAAAATCTGAGTGTAGAAACTAGGTACAAAAATAAACTCTAAAAGTAGGCATGTCTATATAGCTATATAATTGATATGACTATATAACAGGATAGTTTACATATAATATTACATATAGTATATAAAACAGTATAATATCTAAAACTATGTATTCATAATGATATCTTAATTTTTATCATAATAAAAAATAAATAGTAACAATATGCTTTACATTTATAAAACTTTTAGTCATATTTGTTTTTAACTCACTCTCACTTGCTGAGCAGACTTTATCACTAAACCTCTGAGAAAAAATAGGGTAAGTGATTTTCTTAAGTACACATGGCTCTTGAGTAGCTGGAGTTCAAATGCAAGACTTCTGAGGTCAAGATAAGGATCTTCCCCTATATCATGAAGTACTATATTATAATGTGAAGTTTTCCAATTTTTTTAATTGTTGTAAAATACACATAAATTGGATTATCATGTATTTCAAAACAAAACTATAAAAAGAAAAAAGCATTATAAGAATAAAATATTCAAAGGCACTTTCACTCCACAAATTAATCAACAGACATATTGATTAATTTTTTTTCATAGTCATCTTCTGTTCTTTGAATTCAGTAGGTAACCTGCAGATGACTTTTTCAGGCTAAGGGTACAAATCTTTGTGCTCCTCCATATTTCTCACTATATAAGTCTCAAGAAAATTTGCTTTTAAATGACAAAACATAAAATCCTAAAGTGAATATGGCAAAGATAACAAACAGGCTGAAAGTACAAGAACAAGCATAGTAGAAATAAATGTTTAGAAAATACACAAAAAGTTACTGAAAAGCAGAGATAAATGTGAGGCTATTTCTATAAGAGACCAGCCTAGACACTCTCTCCCTTTGTCAACTCAGTGGTTAAAGTTCCTCTTTAAAAATCTATTCCTGGCTTCTGAAAATACACTCTTGACAGAAAGTTCTAGCAGGAAATGCACTTGGCAACAAACTCAGTCAGCAGAGAGCTAATCTATCTGATCTTAAAGACTTCAGTAAACACCCACACATCCTTTTCCAGTGGTTCTTAAATTTCCTCTCTACCAAAATAACCTCCATTAGGGTTTGAGGACTTCCTATACTGCTCTGAAAAGGTTACAGAGATTATTAGAACAATTATTAAACTCAATCTAGAAGTGATTTTCTATTAAGGCCCAGTGTGGATTCTGCATTAAATTAATGTTTAATAAAAGCTATTCTCCATTGTAATGTTGTATGTCAATTGTACCTCAAAAAAAAAAACCACTTCATAATTTTTGAGAATTTACAAGAAGGAGGTATAGTACTTAGAACTATACAGAACACATGTCCTCAAGGAACTAACATTCTTTTATTCAAAATCTGAAAATTGTACATAATAGCAAAACTCACACATAGCACCAGGGCTTAACTTCAATCTCATCTTGATTTTATTACAATTTTCTAACAACTTTTTCCTTAAAAAGGCATAAAGAGTATAAAAACAAGTATATGTTTCTGTCTATCAGTAAGAGTCTTGTTAAATAAAATGAAGGTACATTCATTCAATAAAATACTATGCCACTTTTTAGTACTGATACGGAATGATTTCCAAGATTACATGCAAAACAAAACAAGGTGCAGAACAGTGTATATAATATACTTATTTCTGTAAAACAGGGGAGGAAACCCCCATAATATACGTAGTTACTTGTGTACATGGAGAATATCTCTAGAACAATATGTAAGAAACTAGTAATACTGGCTGTATCCAGAGAGGGAAAGAGGACAAGTGGAGATAAATGGGGGGGGGGGAAGGGGAGTCTTTTCACTGTATATTGCCTTCTGAATGATGTACCATGTCCAAGTATTATTTATTCAAGAAAGAAAAGAACCCAAACTCCTTCTTTTGATATTCCCTACATCGTATGGCTAANGGTGGAGATAAATGGGGGGGGGAAGGGGAGTCTTTTCACTGTATATTGCCTTCTGAATGATGTACCATGTCCAAGTATTATTTATTCAAGAAAGAAAAGAACCCAAACTCCTTCTTTTGATATTCCCTACATCGTATGGCTAATTCATAATATTTTAAGCTCATTACCTCTTTCCTGGCATTATATTATCAATATCAAATTTTTTAAAATATATAACAACATTTTATCAAATCAATACCCACTTAGCAGTGGGTCCCTAAGCTGCATGGCTTCTATGTGCTTTTATTTATGACAATCTTTAAAAGGATATTAAAATGAAATTGCCTGCAAATTCCAAAACTGTCATGTGGAAAGAAAGCTGAGACCTAAAAGTGTTTTCAAAATAGACCACAGAAGAAACCTAATGTTCTAGTTAATATTTTTCCTCAATAAAAAAAGTGTTAACTCTTAGATGAGGTTTTGTGTCATCTTTAATAGTCACACTCCTATATGATTATCAAGACCTACTACTTCATTCTGCAAAGCATATTGATACACAGATATGTTGTATAAAATTAACTCAGTAAATATCACATGCACATTCTTTTTCATGAAGAAAACAAGAAGAATAAAGCTGAAAGAAATACATCTACACTCCTACCTTCAAAAATCTCCCATTGGTCAATAGTGCAACTTGCTTTTCTGCAGCTTGCTTTTCCACGTACCTAAAATGTTTACCATATCATACACAAAAAGGGAAAATTAAACATTCTAAATATTTGAAAAGCACATGGGGAAAAAGAACTACCTAGATTGGTGGTCACACTCTTCCATTCCTACTCAAAAATAAGTTCAAGATGACAGTCATGGTTTAATGGTAATTTTTAACTCCTTAAGTCAGCCACAGTTCAGTCTAGGGATCTAATCATAAACAAAGACCAGAAACTCCAGAAATAGGAAATGTTATTTATAAAAAGTAACCTGGAGAATGTGTAAATTATGCCCCCTTGTAGAATTATTTTTCTTTATGCCAAATTTTCAGATCTAACATAGAAATGTCACAATTAAAAACAGAAGGGTTTTGCCCTGGCCATTGTGACTCGGTTGAAAAGAGAGGTTTCTGGTTCAATTCCAAGTCGGGGCACATACTTACATTGCGAGCTCCATCCCCAGTAAGGGGCTTGTAGGAGGCAGCTGATGGATGTTTTTTTCTCTCTCTCTCCTCTCATCCCCTTCCTCTCTAAAAAATTTAAAAATTAATTTAAAAAAAAAAAAAACATTAAAAGAAAGGGTTTTAATCTGATCTAAAAAAATTAAAAGGTTATTTTTCCTCTCTCCTCTTCAAAAATAACTGGATCTGAGATCCAATTTTTGCCCCAAACTCTATCATAAGATATGTTAAATATGTACTTCTTTTTTTACCTCCTAAATGATGGAAGACGTCGGATGTTTTCACATTGATTATCTGATAAAAAATTTATTCTTCTCTTGGCTTCCGGAAGATTACAGCACAGAACACTGAGGGGCTGGGAATAGAAATGCTCTAATAAAGAAAGCTAGAAAAAATTGCAAAGATTAAATATATTTGTTATATTTTAGCAGTAAATCTTTTGCCCTATGTCTGCTCAATTTTAAGTTTGTTTTTTTTAAACAAACAGAAGTATTTACGGCACTAATATGCTTAATAATGTCACAAAAACACTACAAACAATACATAAATGGCTATATACCTTTAATATTTTAAGGCTCCCATTTTATGGACAAGGTCAGAATATTAAAATCTCTGAAGTATAAACTAAAAGAAACTAATATAAATGGATAAATTAGCTATCTGCAGAAGAAACTAACAGTAACAGAACAGTAAATGTGGTGGGGATGTGATTAGGGTGTGACCTAAGGTTCTAATTGATGCCCCAAAACTCATAAAAAATACCAATCTAAAAATCAGTGTAAAAACTGGTCTGCTAAATAAATAAAAATGTTACAATGGTAGAAGCCTTGCCTATAGATAAAAAGAATAATGAAAATGAGGATATCTAAAGAAAATGTATCTTTTTAAACTCAGTTTTACTTCATGGAGGAAAACATAGTACAACATCTGATAGATACAAGTATTCTAGCAACTAGAATGCTATAATCTTCACAGTATAAGGGAGAAAGATTTTCCACATTCATAACAGGTAAGGTATCTTGTAAGACTCTCATGTAAAAAACTTTGACTCTAAGCAACCTTCTATGACCAGTTTGGTTTTTCCAGATACCCTGATGCTAGACAGTTGCCTACATAGTAGACAAAACATACTCTGGTCACTGGAAGATAGCACTCCCCATGACAAATGAATAAATTAACATGCTAGTTTAAATATTACCCTTAAGGTATTTGAGCTTGGTCCTGCCTAAGTAAACTAATAATGAATTTCTGAGCCTATAGAGCTGAGGAACAGATACCCAAGACTAGAGGAAATCCTCCAAAATAGGCCATTCTTGAGGAAGCATAAGGCTGTAAGGCAAAGGACCAGCCTAACTTAGAAACAAGTACAAATTAGAAAGTAATTATTCATGCCAAGTGCTAAATTATTTTTGTACATGTTAACATAATCTTATTTCTTATTTATATTTTCCAATTACATTAATGTGGTAATACCTACTCTAATGTTAACACCACTTTTTAAACATGAGAAAAATAAAAATCAAACATGATAAGGAACTTCCTGGGGAGGAGGAATGGAAACAAGACATGAGTTATCATAGAGCTATAAATGGGATAAGAACCCAGTATCACTTAACATTTTTGTCCAAGTGAGTTCTCAATATCTGGGTCAATTAACAATAATGAATAAGAAGTAAATCAGAAGTTGTTTCAGCTCAATATCACTTAATCTCTTTCAAATACTTTTTTTAAAAAAAAATCTAAATTGAAATAAAAACAAATATTAGCCTTAACAGACCACTAGTTTTATGTGGAAGAAGAGTACATATGGAAAATAATTTATAAACATCTAGGCATTACATAAACATGAGGTATTATCACACTGCACTTCTGTGCTGAAGTTACTAATACATAGGTTTTAATCAATATGACGACTGGCATGTGTTCATAATGATTACACTTTGCTGAGGTATTTTAGGTAGTTGCCAAGAGAGGCAAGTAATATTAAGTTTTAAGCAACTGAAGAATAGGGTCCATTTTTAGTTTAGAAAAGATGTTATGAAGCTAGGTTCATGAATTTTTTCTGGCAATTCAGGAAATCTTAATGAAAATGCAATCCCAATATATAAGAATAAATATAAATGAACACACACACACACATATGTTTGGGGACAGCAAGCTATGATCCACAGCCCATTTTTACATGGCCCAGGAATGTTTTTTATATCTTTAAAGGGTTATTTTTTAAAAAGAAGAAAACAAAGAATATGCAGCAGAGACCGTATGTAGCATGCAAAACCAAAAATATTTAATATCTGGTCCCTTACAAAAAAAGTTTGCTGACCCCTTATATATATAACATTTCCTAGCTAAAAAGTCCGTAAGTTTTCATCAGATTCTTGAAAAAAAGGTCTCTTTTCCCTCCCCACCCCCAACATGGTTAAGAATCACTAGAATGGAGGGGGGCCTTTTTCCATTTTGCTATCCAATTAATGTATTCTCTACATTTTTGCTGTAGAACCTAGAATAATAGAACTTGAATTTACTTATTCTAGATTTTGTCATTTAAAATGTCTTAATGGGGGAAATACATAAATAAATAAATAAAATGCCTTAAATATCATTAGTCGGTTTAAAATAAGATGCAAATTATTTAGAATCAGCTTGTGAATTTTCAAACCCATTAGTGTCTTCTTACCTGAAGTCCTTTTATAAAGTTCTGAATTGAGAAATCATAATACAAAAAGATGCTGGTCAGAATCTGTAACACTTTTTCACTTAGTTTAAAGGGAAACTGAGTTGTAAGAAGTAGCTGAAAGAGAGAAAGGGGGGGCAGGATACACTCCTTGTTAGTCTTTACTCTTCATAAATATCAAGTATAAATAATGAGGCAAAGAATGAGACTATGACACAGTAACTATGAAAGCTGTAACAATAGCTAGGTCTTTTAGGTCAAACATCAACTAAAAATTTAAATTAATTTACACAACAGTAATAACAAAAAGAAGCTCTTCATACTACATATTCAGAATCACAGATGTCCAGCATCCTCTAGCCAATCCCTAGCTTTAGAAAAACTACCTGGTAACTATGTCCTCTTTCTCCCACCAGAAGCCACAGGCTTTGTCAATTCCTATCTGATTTCTTTTTCATCCCTACTGATACACTTTATGTGCTGTTAAATGAGAAACCCAAAACTAATATATGTCCATTTCAAAAATATAAAATAGCTGAATTTGTATTATCCAGCTATTTTTCAATGGCCTATAGTGAAGATTTTACATTTGAAAATGAAGTCACACTAGGTTTTTTAAACAGAAGCATGGTTATATTAGACCAACTGAACTTGGATACAACCAAGCAATCTTAAATACTGCAGAAATTTTCCCTAAAGGGTCAGCAAACCAATGGATACCTCCTTCATGGGGAAAAACTGTAGAATTGGATAGTAAATAAATGGAAGGTTGTCATTAGTTTACCTTACACAAGCAACATAAAGTGCACCTTAAAGGGGCTGAGTCTAGCTACAATTTGTGGAAGGTCAATACTAAAGAACCATATTTCTGTTTAGGTGGAAACTTAGAGCTATGGTCTGGGAAAATTTTAGTATTTATTTTCAGTCAAGAGCAGCATGACAGGAAAGAGTCCACTAAAAACTTCAGATCATTTAATATTAAATCTAAGAGTCCAAACATTGTTATTGTTACCAGGAAGTAATTAAATTCTGTAAAAATTTATTTTTAAAAACAACAATTTTCCATTGAGTAATAGCCAATTGATAGCTATATCATTCTTTTCATAAATCTTTTATTTTATCCCAAGAGGCAATACTATATCACTATAAAAATCACTAAATAAAAATAATAAGTATGTGAAGGAATATGTTTAACATCATACTCTGAAGAGATACAGAAATTTGTCATTAACATTTATAATCTATTCTTGGCAGTTTCCTGTTCATCCTATTTCATTCACTGGTAAATTTTTTTCTTTTTACCTTATCAAGAACCGTACTCAGGTGCTCCTTGCAAGACATAGACTGGAATATTTCTATACACAACAGAGACGATACTGCATGAGGAAGCAACCGATGGATGATAACAGGAGATGTGGCAATTCCAAAAATGAGTATTAGTGGAAATTCATGTAGATGTTGACTAGTTTAAAAAATAAAATACAAAAGTGGGATTTCTTTAGCAAATATATTTCAATACACCATATTTCAAAATAAGGCCTTTATTTTTATGGCTACTTTATAAGACACTGGTAAGAAGAATCATTCTAGACACTAAAATTTGCTAGGCCACTAATTTTCCTCTGTTAAGTAACATAGAAATAATTATTTCCCACGCATTCTAGCTCTGAAATCAGTCTATTAATGGTTCCTCTCATTTTATCAATGAGAACACAGAGGTTTAGAGAGATTAAGTGCCTCCCTCTATGGTTACACAATCTCAAGTGTTAGAAGAGGTGGTCAGATACCATACAATTTAACCTCTCATCCAAAATTTGAGTCCTACCTACAGTCTTCCCTCAGAGAGAGTTATCCAGCCTATGCTTTAAGAGTTCAGTGACATGAAGCTCACTAATTTTCAAGGTAATTTATTCTGTTTATGGACATTTCTAACAGACACTATGTCACCCAGCCATTATAGCTAAGAATTAAAAAACTTACACATATGTAAAACATAGTTTTAATGGACATTACAAAAAATGTTACATTCTTTCCTCGCATTCTTAACTCAAACTTATTGAACATGATTGATTCTTAGCATTACCAATAGTAACACAAATGACTTCCACAGAGTAAAACAGTACTCTCTTTGAGAGCTACTGCAGGTCAGTCCAAAGTATCATGGCTGATGATTTTGTTTGCTCTCTCCTGTTAGGTATTGCTTTTCATATTCTAGCTGTATACAGTTCTACCTTCATAGGAGTAAATTGCCTGGACTGTTACTCTTTTAAGTTCTTTTTCCTTACTTTTGATGGTAAAAGTAGTCACAAGTCTGAGCTCCAAAAAAGTAGAGCTTTTTTGTCACTATGCCATACTGTGCATTTTTCCAGCATGTTAAGCAGTTCAGTATTAGCATTAAGAAAAAGTCTTAGGATCTAGAAATCTTAGTTTTAGTGGGGGGAAAAAGACACTATCAAAATAGAAATAATAAGTATATTAGTAAATTATAACACAATATAGATTAAGGCAAATGTAACCATAACTATTAAGCAAGTTAACATATAGAAGACAAAATAAATTATACTTTTAAAAATGTTCCATGGGTAATGCATGTTACTGGATTTTAAAATAGTTAGTTACTTTAATTCTGAGTCTTATAGGATTGCCTTAAAGATCCAATGAGATCATGGAAGTAGATTCTCACTAGAAATATTATATAAAATAATATTATTTAGAAAACATTCTTGTTCAGTAGAGCTAACCCAAACAGTAGAGCTAACTCGAAACTTCTAAGGGTGGAAAGGTAACAGAAAATAAGATCTGACAAAACTATCTCAACCTACAGTACTTTATACATTTAATGGCCAAGTAACAGACAGACAACCCTGGTGAGAGAAACTGTATTATCATGCTAATTTAAAATTCGCTAACTTCTCTCTTTTGATTCTCATTCTTTGGTCAAAAAGCAAATGAAACTCTGATAGGAGGTCTTAGAACATTCAATTATAAGGAATTTGAAATCATCTTGGTTTCCATCCATTTGGTATTAAAATAAAGATCAAATTGCCATTTATTTTCTCTGAAAAAGGTATACGAAATTTTGCCCAAAAAACATATGATACATCATCTACCTGCTGATAATTATGAAGTCTTGGAGTACTTTTGTGGTGAAGCTTTCCATGTTCTTTAAGATAAGCACAACGGGAGGAGAGTGCCAGTGGCTAGAAGTCCTCTTTTTCCCTGGCTTTCCTGGGTCTGTATTCTTTTAAGCCGTTGTGGAAAGAAGGAATTAAAGGTAAGCTTTACCAATCAAACAATACTATACACATAGACCTATCTCCCTTTACATTTTACAGTAACTTTTTTTTATTTCTCCCACATAATAAATAGAAATTCATTCCAAGTTAGTAGCAGGATCTTTCTGTCTGACATAGGAATAATAACCAAAAAGGAAAAAGTTCAGTAAAATATATAACTGATATAAAGTATTTATATTTTCTGCTATCTGAAAAAAATGACAAAAAGGCATGAGGAGAACAGTCTCTATAAAATTGATTTTTCTGCTGCTAGAATGTCATATTTTGCTTTGCTCTTAAATGAGAACTAGTATTTTTAATTAAAAACCAAAATGAATAACACTGCTCTGCTACTGTGAAATTTCAAGTTGAAAAGCATCTTAAACATTATCTAGTCCAATCCCAATATTCTAAATTGCATGTAGCATTTGATTTCTACAAAATCTAAAATTCTGGCCCTGGCTGGTGTGGCTCAGTTGGTTAGAGTGTCATTCCATGCACCGAAAGGTTGAGGGTTCTATCCCTGGTCAGGGCACATACCTAGGTTGTGGGTTTGATCCCCCGGAGGGGCATACGGGAGGCAACTGATCAATGTTTCTCTCATACATAGGTATCTGTCTGTCTGTCTCTCTCTCTCTCCCTTCCACTCTCTCTAAAATCACTAAAACATATCCTCGGGTGAAGATTTTTAAAAAAATCTAAAATTCTGGATCAAATTAAGATACTACAGTAATCATTAGACCCAGTTTAATGATTACATAACGCAAAAGTATACTTCACTTATAATGACTTCAGCAAATATATTCATCAAAAAATGTCACCACAGTATTTTTTTCCCACACTACCTGGCTACACAGCATCATAAACTAAAGCTGTGGTTTTATGGTACAGTTACCCTTGAATCGCCTAGGTTATTCATTTTCACCAGAGACTAACATGGTAGAATGAAACGTCTTTTTATTTATCTGTTTGTTTAATATACTTTACTTAGAGAGCATCTACTCCCCAAGACTTCTAAACATGGAACAAATTAGATTCTTAAAAAATATATATATGGCTATTTCTCAACAGACTAAGTTGGCAATAGATACTGATAGCATGATTCTATTGCACAAAAGCAAATACTGAGGAACCCATGAGGTAATTCCAGACACTGTTTTTGTCATTAGTTGACATTCTCCTACATATAAAATGGCCTTGTAGGAACCTAAACTTTTACCAGGAAGTAGGCCACATACTGATAAAAGAATACTTTTAAATCCTAGTAGCCTTAGGAAAAACAAGTAGCTACTGTTAAATTTATAGCTAGTGCTGCACAAGCATATCCTTATTAGAACAAAGCAGTACTATGCTTAATACAGCTCCAAGCCTCTTCAGTCATATGCCAATTTCTTGGGAGAAAATTGTTAGTTTGCATTTACCTGTGTGACATTCATATACCAACTGGAAAGAGAATCCATTGAACAATGTGTCTTTTTATGGATGTCTTTTTCCTCCTCTTTGGATTCCACATCTACACGGCAGTCCATCAACTGTGAGAACAGCTTTTGCAAAAAATGTTTTATATCTGCAGAAGATAAAAGTAAGAACGTTTATCTCTCCTTAAACCAAAAACAACTGAAACTTCTTGATCAGTAGATTACATTATTTGAGTAGAATGTGTTTTTCTTCACTTAACATTAACCAACATAACATTTATCATTTAATATACTATTAATGTTCATTAGTATCTTCTCCTTAATATTTAAATTTCATTAATTAAGACTAACACTAGGTCAAAGTTTATGTGTACTGTCTATAATAAAAGTGTGACCTGAACAAATGTATAAATATGAAAACTATTAAGAATAGCATATTTTTAAATTACTTCTGGGCAGCAAAAGGTTTTTAAAGACTCTAAAAAAGACCAAAAGTATTACTTACATAAGTTATTTTACTGATTATAAATATTCCTCAAAGTCATTTTTAAAGATGTCCTAAGGGCTTTCACTTAATTCCAATAAGTTTATGAATATGAAAGTAATATAAAGCACATAAAGTACATAAGCACATCAGTCCAAACCTAAGCACATTTTACTCTATTAGTGTCCACATCCTTTATGATTTGTTTAATGGCTTCAGATACCCAAAGTAAGCTCTGGCAATGGAATATTTTTACCAACGGTGGCCTTTCAAAGTGGAACAATAAGATGATATAAGGCTGGAAGTATGAGCCTGCATAGTCTATTCTCTGTTGGGCTAAATAAGAACTCCCAATTCCTCAATTCTCAGCTCCCTGCCCCAAACATTCCAACTTAAAATGCCTGGACTATTACTGGCAGTGAAGCTGATATGGCAGGGGTTGGGTTGGAATATTCTGGGAGGCACTAAACTTCACACAGCCAAAATATAGTGTCACACTCTTCCTACAAATAAAAAGGAATGAAGAAAGCTTCAGAAAGACAGACAGACAGACATGGAGAGAAAGACACACACACACACACACACACAGAGATGGAGAGAGAAGGACTGAAGAGATTGGTAACATCTCACCAAGGTTATTAAAGTATTTATACTTTACCTGGACAGTCTCTAGCTTGCAATGAGACTACATATGGAGTGACATTATTCTGAAGGGTTTCTGTTAGACTTCTGAATATAAAATCATGATCTGTTACATTCACACCTATGGGATTATACATCAATATTACACCATCATTTTTATTATTAATAATTTAACAACAAAAGCTATTTGTCAAGTGAATTACTAACTAAAAATATTTTGACATGATTAATAACAGAAACCAAAACAATACACTGCATTAATGAAGAGAGCTCCAGTAATAATAGATATCTAGAGGCACACATTATAATTACTTGTTAGGAAAGGTATTTAGCACAATTTCTCTTTTAAAAAAAATTGCCGGGCCCAGCCAGCATGGCTCATTGGTTGAGCATTGACCTATGATCCTGGAGATAGGAGTTCAATTCCTGGTCAGGGCACAGGCCAAAGTTGCAGGCTTGATCCCCAGTAGGGGGCGTGCAAGAGGCAGCCTATCAATGACTCTCATCGATGTTTCTACTCTCTCTCTCCCTTCCTCTCTGAAATCAATAAAGACATATTCTTAAAAATTAAAAAATAGTAATTGCTGGAGATGTGTAGTTGACCCTTGAAAACATCTTAGGAACATCTTGAAAATATTTCATTCCTTTGTCACACTAAGAGCTCTTTAAAATAATTATTCAAAAAAAAGGACTATGGATTCAAACCTTTCTGTGACCCTCACTTAACAACTGAGGAGAATCCAATCAGAAATATTATTTATGATCACAGTAGTAAATATAATAGGTAAAGTATACACTAAACTGATTTCTGAGGAAAGAGCCTAAAAACAAATTATAACTTTAGGTCCTTTAGGTATTTACTAAACCCTGATTCTTATTCCCACACATCAGAATTTTAGTGCTCTGCATGCAGTTATCAGAACTGAGTGGAAATTTCCCCACTACTTTGGAAAAAATACTATTAATTGGTAACTTCCCTGAGGTGACAATCTGTGATGTCTAAAAAGTGCTTTGGCACTTAGGCAGGTGCCAGCAGCAGGCATCTTGAAACTACTTGAGACTTGCTACTATAAAACTTCAACTGCTTGGAAGAAAGGTTCAGAATCATCCAGGCCACCAACAGTCAACTTTTTTTTTTCTAGGAGTGCTAACAAAAATGTTAGCAGGATATTTTTAAATGGACATACACTAAAATAGATAAATAAATAGACATATACCTAATAGAAGATAGAAAGTGTGCAATTGTGCTTAAGTATCTTTGAGTACAGATTTTTTTAAAGTATCAAAATGACATTTCTAGCATGTATTACAGTCTACAATTATGATACCACATCTCTGAACAAATTCAGGAGTTTAGTAAAACAGTGGCTTATCGTGTCTGACTGACTTTATAAGCCATTTAATACTATGTTCCTTAAGACAATGAACTTGTCTATTGGAAACAAGGTAATCTGCATCTTTAACTGGAAAAATGTTCTAAACCTCAAACTACTGACTTTGAAACACATGATTTCCATTAGCTTTTCTCCTTTTGGCAGTAGACAGAGAAGGGATTTAAACAGTGCTCTCACAATAATCTATCAGCCCATCCCTCTTGATTGTGTTCCTCCCATTCTATAATTACTATAACATGGCAGTAGAGAAAGAAAGCACCCAACAGTACAAGCCAGCCAAAACTGAGCCTTAGTTTCTCATCCATAATGGAAGGAGTTTTGAAATTAAGTGGCAGGCTGCACTGAAAAGCTGATCCACAGCATTATAAAAATCATTCCACAAAGTCTTATTACTCAGAGCGAGTTTCAAACCCTACCCCAGACCTATTAGTGAAAAGTTTCATTTACTAAGATCCCCCAGAGGTTATTTTTAGGTACATTAAAGCTTGAGAAGTACTGCCCTGAATATCAGGTAGATAATGAACAGTATTAGGCAGTATTAAACGAAAGAATTAAACAAAAGAATTCTTATCTCAGAGCCGACTAGTATAATAAACCCTGAATAAATATCAAATTGAAAGTGCAATTAAGAGTATATTAGAAATTCAAACAAATTCAACTTTCTTTTCAAGAGGAATGAAAAAAATTTGCTAATATTTTTCCACTACCTGCAATCCAGATATTTGGTTAAAATGAAATGCTAATGATGGAAATTTAAGTAAGAAATTTACAACCTGCAGTCTGAAAGCAATTTATATATAATTCATCCAAAATGGCTTTTCAACAATTACTATTAATACAATATTATGAAACAATCCAAGATTGAAAAACTATGAACAAGGAAATAAAATTAAGGTCATAGAGTAATTGCACTGAAGATATGATAAAAAGGTATAAAAATCAAATTTATTACTATACTGATGGTTTCTTTATTACTGAATACAGATGTCATATATTTTATAAAATAACTACAAAAAGAGTAACAGAAATATATTTCCCCTTAATTTTTTAGACAAAAAATTGAGGAGGGTACTAGCTAACCCAAATCAATTTCTTCTAATTTACAGATGTATGATCAGTATAGGGAACTTTTATTGGTTTTGAAAGTATACCTAACAAACTATAATTGGTTTAACTCTGTAAATAAGAGAGACCAAACAGGTTTACCAGAACAGGTTATTCCCCACTATTTTCAAAAACAGAACCACCAATTTAAAACATACAAACAAACATGCACATACCTAGAATAAGAGCAGCAGTTGGAATTTCACTGAGTTTTATTTGACAGCCCCAGTCTCTTGAATTCTTCTGGAATCCAGAATGAGACTTTTGCAGAAATTTGATTAGACTGTCAAACAGGTTTTTATTTAATTCCTCTTGCAATTGCTACACAGAACATACAAAACTTTAGGGATTATTATTAGCAAAAATATGACATGTCTCTCTAAGTTTAGGAAAGAAAACTGTCATCAATTCAATTTCAAATATTACATGTAAAATTATAATCATGATGAAATAAAAAACATTTTTTCCTTAAATCTCCAGTGATTCGTGCTTTGGATCCCCTCACTAAATAATCTCATTTATTCATTCAACAAACATTGACTAACCACCTTACAAATGAAAGATAGTCTCTACCCTAAAAAAGTAAAGAAATTGAGCAAGAACACTTAAAATGAAACTAGCCACAGGGACTAGTGGCAGATCTGAAGGGCTTTACATGAGAAGTAGGGACATCAGTCAGGAGGATATCATGACAATCAGGTTAAGAAATGAAGAGGACCTAAGTTGGAAACCACATACTCAAATACCTTCAAGGATCACATGGAATACATGAATGAGCAAAGCCATTAGGTGTAAAGCAATAAAGTCTGGTGGGAAGCAGTAATAAACTGAAAAGTGCATAACCATCCCACAGGCATTAAACAACAACAACAACACTGTATTTGTCAAACAAAACAAGTCCACTCAAAATGTTGGCCCTAGAACAAGGAATCTGCTATAGTGGAGAAATTATTCAGAGCTGGAATATAAAGAATGTGGTAAGTGGATATGAGGATGAGAAAGTGAAGTAGTTTAGAAATAGCTTGATTTCTAACTTGTGTAACTGAATGGCTAATTTGAAGAGTGACAGCATTTCAAAGCTGTGAGGATATATAAAGAGCCCCTTGCCTTAGCAACTATCATTATAAACATATGTTCCAGTACCTGAAGCTATGCTTAATACTTGGAACATGAGGGTTTTGTTTTTGTTTTCAGTATATACAGATTGTACTTAACCAATATTAACAACATTTTATCAATTCTCTTGTAAATTGGTGGAAAAGAATATGGGAAGCAACACGAGATTTACACTATTAGAGAAATGTTATTTAAAAAAGTACTCACCTCAGTTTCAGATTTCATCTGCTGCCATATCAACTGATAAGTTTCATATCGAAGCTTACTGTCCTCAGACTCATTTTTCCCTTTATTAAAATATTCCTCTGAAAATACAGAAAGAAGTCAGTCCATGTCTTTTTTAATATAATAAAAGTTAGAAAATACCTGTACAAAGTAACACAATAAATGATGGGGCTGAATTTTTTATATGCATCAAATTATGTATATATGTATATATATATATACACACACACACACACACACATATATATAATTTGGGGATCAGTAACATTCAATATCCTCTATATTTAATTTTATTTATACATCTTAAATTCTTACTATAATTATTATATGTGTAAGATTAAATAGCTTTTTAATTTTTAGTGTATTTCTATCATTTACTTCTGAATTTCTAAGTTTTTATTTAATGGTTTTGATTTGAAATATATATATTTAATATTAGTATATCTTCATTATTTGCTCTTATTTTAAGGCCTTGTATACTTTGCTTCATATATTTGCTTTGAACTCTCCTTTACTAAATGATACTTACCACTACTATCCTTGTTCATTTGTTCAATTGACATAGTTTTAGCCTAGACTTCTATTTATCTGTATTACTTTATATACTTTTGGAATGTATTCCTCCAAACAGTTGGTCATTTATCAAAATGCCATTTGTTGCAGTGGTTTTCAAACTTTTAAAATCATAACCCACATTAAGGAATATATCTTACATCACAATCCAACATACGTATATATAACAGAAACAAAAACCAAAGGCCCACAAAATAATACTTATCAGGTGATACCAAATGTTTTCTGTTTTTTAAAACTCTCATGACCCACTAAACTGATTTCATGACTCATACCTGGGTTATATATAAAAATCTTCAGTTTGAAAAACATTCATTTCTTCTACTGATTTGGGATGTTCTTATCATCTAAATACTTATAAGTACACTTGGAACTATTTTTGAATTTTTTATTTTGTTCTATTGAGTCCAAACATACCAGTCCTGAACTGCTTTAATTATTGTAGCTTTGTAGTTCATTCTAATATTGAATAGATTCAGGTCTTCCTCCCATTACCACAAAATATCATCATTCTTTTTCAAAAAATTTTAAGGCATTCTTTCAAACTAATTTTGTCATTTCTGAAAAACAATTTCACTGGTATTTTGAATGGACAAAAGAAAAATCTGTAGATTGATTTGGGGAGAAATGATATTTTTAATATGTTAAAAATGCACATCCAAAAACACTACAAGTCTCTATATTTAAAAACAACAACAACAACAAAAAAACGGGTTGTGGGATACATCCCCAGTCGGGGGCGTGCAGGAGGCAGCTGATCAATGACTCTCTCATCATTGATGTTTCTATCTCTCTCTCTCCCTCTCCTTTCCTCTCTCTGAAATCAATAAAGATATATTTAAAAACAAACAAAAAAAACAAAAACACTACAAGTCTCTTCCTTTAATCAATATTTTACATTCCTTATAGTTTTCTACTTTCCTTCATAAAGCTTGTTTACTTCTAGGTGTTTTATTGTAACAGCTACAACTTTCATAATATTACATAATTGTGAAAGTACACATTTTGTTCCTGACTTCCCTGGAATGCTGCTAGTATCCCACCATCAAATTTTAATGTTAACTGAGAGTTTGGAATAGAAGCTCTCTTTCATATTAAGGAACTTTCCTCCTAATCATAGTTGACTCAGTTTGGAGCAAATATTGATTTTTTAAATTTTATCGAAAGGCTTAAAATATATTGACGTCATCATATGGCAAAATAATAGACAAGGTTATAGTATAAAAGAGCAAACCACAAAAAAAGGCAAGGAGATATACAATTACTAAGAGGCAAAGCAGAATAACAAGGTAGCCTTAAACAGAACAAAAATAGTTATCTTTGAAAATGAGTAAAATCATAGAAAATGTTAAAGTGGCAAATCAAGACATAAATTTTTTTATGTGCTGAATGATGCTACATCAAAATATATAGCAAAGTCAGAAATTGGAAAACAAGAGCAGTAGGACATTTAACCTGTCTCCGTGACTTCTCTCACTCAGCCATTTATTGATCAAGTAGGTAAAAAATAAGTAAGCACTGAAAGGAGCTACAGAATGAATATCAGTTCTCACTGATGACAGGTTCCCTCCTGCTCCTACTCACAGTTCTCTCTCTCTCCACACAATACTGAGGAGAGGGAGAGTTACCAGTCTTTTCTTAGACAGATGGTGGGCACAATGCAGAACATCTTCCTACTTATTTGGAAAATCTTTTTTCAAGAACTGAAGCCACTGAAGGCAAGTGCTAAAATCTGGATATGTTTTCCTCACTTATGCTCCATCTGTCTTAAACTTACGGTCAATTCCTCTAAGATTTTCATATTATAACATTATCTGTTGGTCTTAGATCAGCACAATGGAAAAAACCTAATGTACTTCAAAGTGCACATTATACAACTGTACACATTAGATTTACTAATACTAAAAACTTTAAACAAATCTTAATAAAGTTCGTATGTCTAAGTGTCCCCATTTGATATGTCCTAACAAAAGTATGCACTCATATGACCACCCCCTCAAATTAAGGGAACATTTCCCTAACTCCAAAAGTCCCTCTTGCCCTTTTGCAGTCAATTCCCCATACTTTACCCCAGGAAACCACTGAGATTTTTATGTCAATCTCTTTTAAAGAATGGTGACTTATCCTTTGAAGTAAATTCACTTTCTGATTTGCCTTTTGAAGGAATATTTGTATTCCCTTTTAGATTAGAACCCTTATCCCTCTGACCTATGCCTTGGAAGATACCTGTTATGTCAACATGGTAAGTAAGCCATGCTTAGACAAGAGACGTACTAAATTCAATTAGGGTAGGAAAACGAACAAATTTGATATTAANGGGGTGTACCCTTATCCCTCTGACCTATGCCTTGGAAGATACCTGTTATGTCAACATGGTAAGTAAGCCATGCTTAGACAAGAGACGTACTAAATTCANTGGTAAGTAAGCCATGCTTAGACAAGAGACGTACTAAATTCAATTAGGGTAGGAAAACGAACAAATTTGATATTAAGACATCTTACCTACTGGCTCAGAGATCTTTCTCTTCTTGAAATTTGGCTTAAACACAAAGCAGCCCTACAAAAAGAAAAAATAAAGCATAAAGTCAAATTAGTCAAGGAGCAGATAAATTAACCAAGTATTTTATGGATAAGCAGATTTAAAATTAAAAAAAAAAAGTGCCCTGGCCAATGTGGCTCAGTGGTTGGAGCATCAGCCTGTGCACCAAAAGGTCCGGTCGGATTCCCAGTCAAGGACATATACCTGGGTTATTAGTCTGTCCCCCAGTAGGGACCCGTGCGGGATGCAACCAATCCATGTGTGTGTGTCTCTCCTGTCTCCTCCTCCCTCCCCCTCCCTTCCACTATCTCTAAAATCAATGGAAAAATATCCTTGGGTGAGAATTTTTTTAAAAAGTGTTTCTTTAAAGTTCTAAGAAATCACCTCTTTCCAATCTAGTTATAGAAGGAAAATTCTTAAACAATACAACAACCATCCATTTCTTTCTCCTCCCTCCTATGGCATGTTCATCTTTTTCTTTTTTTAATCCTTACCTGAGGATATTTTTTCCATTGCTTTTCAGAGCAAGTGGGGGAGAGAGACAGAGAAACATCGATGTGATAGAGACACACTGACTGGTTGCCTCCCGGGGATTGAGCCTGCAACCTAGGTTCATGCCCTTGGTGACAAACCCGGGACTCTTCAGTCCCCGAGGCCAACGCTCTAACCACTGAGTAAACCAGCTAGGAAGGGATGTTCATCTTTAATTATGCTCTTTGGGACCTGATATAAGAGGTAGACAAAGAAAATAAATGCTGACAAAATTTAAACGCAAAATTATAAAACTCAGAGAAGAACATTAGTAGTATACATTAAAATGAAGATCAAGAAGATATAAAATAGTGATGCTCTCCCATCTCAAAAGAAGTATTTGTTACTTAATTAAACTCCAACTATCTAGAACTGTAATGGGAAATAGAGAATTTGGCTATTATTGTTTCACCTTTCTTCATCTGATAAACTTATTCATTTATCCATTACAGATCAATTCAAATTCACCCACTCTGGGAAATCTTCCCCAATTTTCTAGTTAGAATTATTCCTTCCTGTAAGATCTCACAGTACTTGAATATCTTTATTTTAAATCTCTTTCATTCTGTATCATAGTTATTTAGGGTCTGTCTCCCAAGTAGTTTGTGAGCACCTTCAGAGCACAGACTGCAGTTAGTTCAAGATCATTTCCCCAATGTTTAGGATAGTGTTAACATATATATTAGGCAATCAGTATACAGAATAAATGCTTGCCAAGTAATATTCCTGGTAATTTCCTAGTTATATTTAGTTCCATGTTATTATTTGACTAGTGCTATATAGTCCCCAAGCTGCTGGTCCTATGTTTATTCTACCAATTCTAAAGGTACACGTCATGGACAGCTTCTAAAGATTGCCATTTCTATGGAAAATGGAAAAACATATCTCGAAAAAGTCATCTCAGGATAGTGCTAAAGACAGCAGTGCAAATATAAAGTGCCCATTTGGATTATAGGATCCAAAGTAAGAACTCTGCCTTATACTCTTGTATCTGCAGCTAGTGGAACTATTTAAAATACACAAACATATTTAGAAAAATCATGTGGTACCATGTCAAGCTTGTAATTACCTCCTTTCTATATGCATCTGCAATTCAGTAAAGGAAAAGGAGCTCTGAAGGAATGAGATATAAAGAGTGTCAAGAATGAATCCTAATGTATGGCAGTGGTAGTAATATGGTTAACCACCTTGAACTCCTGGTCAAGGGATGGTGTTTGAGATGGAGGAAGAAGTCTAGGAGAGCCCACAGCAAGAAAATATGACAAGGAAAGAGAAGTTTAGATAGGTTACAAAAAAGAAAGCTGGCAGTTACACGAACTCGGGAGATAGTCTTTAAAGATTATTATTTATGTAAGGCACCCTCGGACCCCTTCATAGTCATCTCAATACAAGCATTTCTGTTATAATGCCATAAGTGTTCTCCTGAAAAAAATCTCACAATTCTGCAAGACATATAAAAATAAGAGGCTTGTCTCGGCCAGATGGCTCAATTGGTTGGAGCATCATCCCATACACCAAAAGGTTGTGGGTCTGATTCCTGGTTAAGGGACATACCTAGGTTGTGGGTTCGATCTCCATTCAGGGAGGGCACGGGAGGCAACCTATTGATGTTTCTCATATTGATGTTTCTCTCTCTCTCTCAACCCCCCTTCCTTTCTCTCTAAGGATCAATAAAAACATATCCTCGGGTTACGCTTAAAAATAATAAGAGGCTTATGCAACAAAAAGGATTAGAGGACAGACCATTCAAAACTTACAGAACTTTACAACCAGGGCAAAACAAAAACAGTACCAATCCTAATTTAAAAACAAAACAAACACTAGCAGTTAAATTTCTTCCGGCTTGCACCTAGCATCACAGTTAGCCAATCTTTTGTAAACTTAAACCTAAGCTTGATATGTAGTTTTGGAAGGCACTGCTTCTCATAATTTTTTTTAAAAATTAAAATTAGATCCATGGTGTAGCCTTCTTTATTGATCTGGTTTAATACAGAGAGAAATGTCTTTGCAGCTTCTTCATCTGCATTCTCAGCGTTATCAGACAGCTTAAGGGACTTCCAATGCACTCATAATATTACTAAAGGTCTTACTTTGTCTATAGCAGTGCTATCCAATAGGACTTTCAGTAACGAGGGAGGTATCAAAATCTGCACTAATATGCAGTCACAGCCACATGTGGTTACTGAGCACCTGAATGTGGCTAGCGAGACTGAGGAATTAAATTTTTAATTTTATTTAATTTTACTTTATTTTAAATACCTACATGTGGCTAGTGGCTACTGAGTTGGACAACAGAGCTCTAAAGTTTATTTTCTTACCAACTATACTATGTCTTGCAATCCCTGGCCATCTAAGCAGCCAATATGAGATCTATATGATCTCCTTACACACACACACATACACACACATCCCTACACTGCTTTTTCATTCTCATTTTTCATAAGGCTCCCTTCTCTATCTCTACTCTCTGTTTATACAGATTCTTCAATTCTTTTATTTAATGTGCCATTTTATTCCCATCTTCTGGGCCAAAGAATACGTCATTCTCTCTGCTAAAGCCACCCCGCGCCCATACCCCGCTCCCCAATCCTTCACCTAACTTCTCATTTTTCAGGTCTCAGCTAAAATGTGACTTTCTCCAAAGGCCTTTGCTGACCTTGGGCAATCTAGTTTAGGTTCTTCTGGTTCTTCTGCTCTCACTTAGAAATTTCTTTCTTGCTAACATTTATCACAGTTCGTGGTCAGTTTATCTGTGTTTGATGTGTTTGTGTGCAAAAGCTGAGTCTATTCGGTTTACCCGTGTATCCCGGTACCTAATGGAGTGCTTGGCGCACAATAAACATTTGAGAAGGAAAGGGCGGAGACTGTGGCACATCCTCCTGAGAGTCGATCTCAACAAACCAGAATTTAAAAATTCTCCACTAAGCCAAAACACTAAGGCAGGCGGGTATCTTCGCTCCCCAAGCAAAGCCTCAACTGGACCTGGAGCAAAGATCTCAGCTCTGCCCGCCGCACCTTCCCCTGAAGTTAGTACACCTAGGCCTACGGTACCTCCGCTTCATGCCTCCTTCAAAAGGGAAAGAGACTGTGGCGGAGTCTTAGTGGCGGCCCTCCCCCACGTACCTTGGACACCGAGGAGGTGGCCATGGACCCAGCGGTTCCCTGCAAGCCAGAAACTCGGGATTTCCCGCGCTCCCTCGCGGCAGCAGGGCAGAGGTTAGTGGCGGGCCACTGGGCTTCTTGATTGGCTGGCATCACCCTCCAAGGCGGGCTTCCGGCGCGCGGAGGCGGGGCTGCGGAGGTGGGCGGGGCTCCAGAGCTCCCCGCTGGGACGCGCTTCTTGGAGGCAGACATGGCGTGTGGCTTCCGCAGGTCTATTGCCTGTCAGGTACGGACTTGGGGACTGGCAGAGGAGACCCCTGCGGAGCCCCGCACCCCGAAGCCGTTTCACTGCTGTGGGCGGGTCCTCAATCAGCGGGGGGCGGGTTCTGATAAAACGCTGTTTCTGCCGCTTCTTCCCAGTGGTTTGGAGATGTTTCAGCTGCTAAGGCAAACCCGGTGGAGGGTTTGGCATGCAGCTCAGATCAGTTTTCAGCATGAAAAGTAAACTTTGAAAGGCTCATGTTGCTTCCTTCTCTCCTTCCCACCCTACAGCTTTGTATGCTTTATCTGGGTTGAAAGTTACTGGGCCATGATTAGACCCCGCAGAAATTAATGTTGACCTAGTGAAACATAAAGATTTACTCAAGGATCGTAAACCAAAAAGTACAACTATGCAATACCCAGAGTGTCTGAAGAAAGAAAAACTGAGGGTTCTTATAGGAAAATTAAGTTCTTAAAAATTAGTTCTGGACTCTTACCCCCTGAATTCTCAGGTAATAATTAGTCCTGATTGTTAACATGGAGGGCAGCTGCTATCTTCCTAAGCAGTGGTTCTCAAGCCTTGGCTGCAGACTGGAATCACTTGAGCATTAAAAAAATACGTAAGCCCAGGCCCACTCTATGGGTCTTGAAGCTCTAAAAGTCATCAGGTGATTTTGATGTTCATCCAGGCGTTATAACTACTGACCAAGGACGACCAGGAGGCAGAAAGGTATAGGGCTACGTTCCCCACACTTCACTGCACATTGCAATCAACCCAAGAACTTTTTAACAGCTTGTTACTCAGGTCACACCCTGTGCTAATTAAATCACGATGTTTGCATGAGCCAGGCATCAGTATTTCCTAAAGATTCCTGGGTCCCATTCCAATGTGTAGCAAATTGTGGGAACCACAGGTATAGTGATTAAGAACACTGACCATGAAGACATGTGGGTTTAAATCCAGCTTCTCTGGTAGGTATGTAAGTTCTCTGTCCCTCATTTGTAAAATCTGGAAAATTATTTAGCTACTTTATAGGCTTGTCATTAGGATATAATGAATTAATACATATATAATACTTAGGATTGTGTTTGGTACATTGTAAACACTCAATAAATATTGTTCATTATTATGTTAAATTAGAATACTGAGAACAGTATTGTGAACCCCCTTTCCACACCACTACCATCCCAAAGGCTTTCTGATGTGGGGGACCTAGTTATACATTACCCTCAGTGAATGCTTTAGCCACGCATGAAGTTAGATTACCAGAAAGCTACATATCTGAACCTTGTTTAATTTTCAATGAAAATTCCTTAGCAGTACTTTTATAAAGTTGTACTTTTGTAAAGAAAAAAAAAATATTTTTCAGTTTTGCAAAAGCAATATCTGTTTATTGTTAAGAATTAAGTGATACAAAAGGTGCAAAGAATTTAAACGTTCCTATAAATCATCATCGTCAACAGGTTGACTTTCATTTAGATATATTTCTTTGCAGGTGTACAGGCAGGAAAAAAGAAGGAAGATAGGAAGACAGGGTAGATACGCTTTTTATAAAAATTGGGCTGTATTGTAATGAGTTTTTATTTTTAGGTTTGTTTGCTTCTTTAAAAGTTCTATGACGAGAAATGTCCAACTACTAAAAGTGTAATAGTGCTAGGATTCCCCATGTATCCATAACTGAAATACTGTTTTAAATAAAAAGTATTAAACATAGTTTTGCTTGAATTTAATAACAGAAAAAGAAACCAAAGTTCAAAGAATTATTGGTGTATTTCCTAAATGAGTCCTCTGTAGTTAAGAAAAGAGATTATGCAGAACATTACAATTTGGAGTGTTTCTTTAAAATCTTGATGTTTCAAATTTAGACAGTATTAACCCCTAGCATGGGAGACCAGGACATTAGAACTCTTGTAGTTGGCATAACTTTCTTCTATCTTTCCTAATTTGTTTGGGTAACTTTCTCACTCAAAGTTTGTAACACTCATAGTATGTTTATTAACCATATCTGCACAACTTGTCTGCTGTTCATTTTATATTGACTTGGATAAGATGCTTTCTATAATGCTTTTCCTGGCGCATGGCTTAATTAGCTGGATTTCTTTATAAGTAGCTTTTTCAAGAGAGGCTCATGGCGCTTTATTTTTTAAAAACTTTTTTAAAGAAATTATGACTTTTCAGATAAAATAACCCTGGGTATATCAAAAGGAGGTTTAATCATTAGAAAATTAGCATGTTTAGAAATAATATCAAAATAATAGATTTAGAAATAATATCAAAAATCTTCATTTTAGAAATAAAGCTATAACAAAATTGTTTAGTTCTGATTTTGAATTTTCCAAAGACTTGTACCGCAGATGCAAATGCTAGAACAATCCAATGTTATATTTTTAGTTTCCAATTTTCATATGTTGACAACTAATTCAAACTAAAAACAACAACTAAGCAGGTGAAACAAACATACCAGTCTGCAACTTCTTTAGTGGATGAATCTAGTCTGGTAGAATATCGTTGCTAAGTTATTTGCTTTAACCATGTGATTAGGTAACATGGCTATAAAGTAAAGTGCATTTTTTTTCATCTCTGGATTTTTGATTGGGTGCTTTATTTTTTGAAATTTAGTAACTTAGCCGGATGTATCTCTGTTAAACTTTCTGTATTATATTTTCCTGACATAGTAATTTACTTTGATTTGTAGATTGTTTCTTTTTTTAATGAAATATTTAATCATGGAGAAGAATAAAGGTAATATTCATGTACCTGTTACTAATTGGGATGCATTCATAGGTTGTAAGTGACTTGCACAGATATGGTAAACACAAAACGTCATATGTGAAGAAAGAGAATTTGAAACCAGGAATGGGTAGCCAGGAGATTTTAATACTTGCAATAATTTACTTTTCAATTATTAAATTTTATATAAGTGGTAATTAAACTATATCCTTCTGCCACCTGGGTTTTTTTGTTTGTTTGCCTCAGTTTTTAAAAAAGATTTATCTATAATGATACATTAAGGTTTAATTTTTCATTTTACTGCTGACTAGTGTGCCGTTGCCATAATATACTACAATTTAAATGTGGTTCTTTATTTCAGGGACATTTTTCCTTTTATTGAATATTATGCCCTATTATCTCCCATCACTTGGTCACACCTGTGATTCCAGCGGCCACTTGTGTGAACAGTTTCACCTGTGCTTCCATTCACTTATTGCTAACAGCATCCCATCCTGTCTGAAAGCCTTCTAGTCCCAGCCCATATCAGTTGAGGTGTGGTGGAGTTAATGTCAAGGACGGCCTTCAGTCAATGGGGATGAAAGCTCCTGCTTCCTATTTTTGGATAGACAATTTTGGTTAACATTGTGTATGTTTCTTAGGAGGTAGTTATGGAAATTAAGCCTGCATTGCCTATAGTAGTGACCTTGATAGCACAATCTTACATTAACTTTTTCTCCTCTTTTACTCTCCCCAATCACTTCTACCCTCAGGAATCACCTCCCAAATAGACTACCTGCATACAATCCTTTTCTCAAGCCCTGCTTTTGGGGGAGCCAAGATATATATCTATGAATATTTTTAATTTATCTTGGGTTTTATTGATTCAGCCCCAGGGCTTCTGATAAGTGAGACCTAGTTAGGATGCCCTGCTAAATAAGACTGCTCTATTCTGCTTCAGAATCTTTTATATCTGTCCTTGGCTATCACTTTTTGAAGAATGGCTTTGGGCTTTGTCTCTATCCTTATGTATTTGCTACTGGAGAACCAATGTACCTATCTTCCTGTCCTCTTGCTTTGCTGCTCCAGAATTCTTTTCATCTTGCCCAAAACTGAAAGTCTGACCATTAAACAGTAACTCCGTGTACCTCTTTTCCCCCTCATCCTTTTATTACAAGAATGTTTCTGTGCCTCTGTAAAACTACTATTGAAGATACTTTCTATTTTGGTGTTCATATCTTCATGTGAATATAACTTGGTCTTAGAATTTACTTTTAGGAAAAATTTGTTCCTCCTGACTTGCTAGATCTCTTACTGGATAAAACCCGCTGCGTAGCTATGTGCCCTTTGTGCCTTGGTTTCCAAGAAGCATAGTAACTATCTTTAGCTTGTGTTTTCTGGTATAATTTTACACTTCCACTTTATTTTTATGTTTTTAAGCCCCCTCGGAGCCCTTTGGAGCAAGTGAGATGTAATAATAAAAGAAATAAACATTTTAAAGTAGTTTTTAGTTTATATAAGAAAGAGAATTTTTTTGTTTTGTTGAATTGAATGTAAACATTTTGTGACCTAAGTTCACAACGTATTTGTCACCTGAAATGCTTTAAAATTATCTGTATCACCTTTTTCTTCAGCAAATTTTAGTTCTATTTAAGAAAGGCAGAAAATGTTAGTGGTTATGGATAAGTTTTTGAGATGTGTCCAAAATAAAACCTTTGAAAGGAAGAAGGAAATAATATTTATTACATCCTTATTATGTGACACATTTTTCTTAATCCTCACAAGACCCCTGGCTTATTATTTAACAGATGTATTATCCCTATTTGTCAGATGTGAAAATTTAAGCTTATCCATGTAAAATGACTTTCCCAAAGACGCATAGCTAGTAAAAGTTGAACTGGAATTTGAACCCTTTTTTTCTAAGAGAAATTATAACAGAACCTTTATTGCTGAGTATCTGCATTGGCAGGAACATTTTGTGTATAAACATGAACTGTTACAGCCTTTAAATGCTTTGAAAATATTTATCTACTTCTGAGAAAATATCCTAAAGAAATACCTTTTTGTAGGGGATACAGTAATGTAGTTCCTAAAGACTAGATAATT